ACCGGAAACACTAGACGTTGCCGAAATGGCAAACTATGTATAAGTCGCGTCTAGAATTCTATAAGCGACTTAGACCTACGGAAAGATCGTTTATGACTATAGATGATTAGTTGTTTTATTTTGTCTCAGAATTTGTTAGGTAATATTTAAAATTAAAAAAAAAATGATGAAGATTTGTGTTCTAATTTATTTTTCTATAATTTAATTTATACTATCAATGATATTACGTTGATAAAATTTATTTAGAATTTTATTTTTTTATATATTATTTATATTATTATATTCTAAAAATAATGTTATTATTGTTATTTATCTTATAAAAAACAAATTTAAAGTTATTATATTAATAAGGTTAATAATAAAATTGTAACTATAATAATAAATGGTTTTTTGATTAGGTTATAATGAATAATAATAAAAGTAGTCAAATAGTAATTATATGGTAATGATTATTTAAAAAGTAAAATCAATGATAATATATGATAATAATAACCTAAAAAGTATGTCTAATGGTATATGATGATAATGTAGGGTGGTATGTATGAAGTAGGACCCTATAAAAAACTACTTTCAAATTCTTTCTTTTTGCTATGTTTCTTTTTGTGTTTTTTCTTTTTATGTGTGTGTTGCTTTTTCATATAGGTTGTATGTTTTACAGTGTGTGTGTCTATGTTACTCTATGTGTTATAGCATTTCTTCGACTTTCTCTTAAAGATGACTGTAACTGTTATCATATATTCTGATGTTATCTATGTGTGTTCCTTTTTTCCTAAAAAGATGAAAATTCTATTTTATAAACATCTTAGTTAACTGTTACGTGTTTGATGTGTATCTATGTGTGTTTTTATAATGTGTGTGTTGCTATTAAAATTATTCAAAATGACCATTATATCCATATTCAAAATATTATTCTTGGATTTGAAACAAAATCATGGTTTTGTAGACTTGTAAACAGTTAAATATGCTATAATCTTAAATTTAAGCTTCATCATTAAGGAAAGAAAGGGTAAGAGAGTTAATTTGCTATTATAAAGTTATAGAAATTATATCAATGTGCTTTGAAAATATGTTGTTATAATTGGTATTAATTCGTGAATTGGTCAAATAATTTGATTATTGTTGTAATGTTGTTATTAGAAACTTGAAAATCCAATTTGTTTAATGGAATGACCATTTTTACCCTTGCCACATGATTATAAGTTGTAGTATTTTGAAAAAAAAAAGTTTTCATTGATAGGGACCGTTCTTGCAACTGTTATTACATACTAATTACATATACTAACTTTTTAAAATTATAGTTACGGTACCATTTATGTAAACCGTAATTTATAGGAACCATTCCTACAACTGTTAGCATCCTACTTTCATTATATGTTGTTCTATATTTAAAAAATAAATCATTGATAGGGATCATTGATGCAACTATTATTAATTACAATGTAACATCAGGATTTTTCACCACCCATTGTTTTTATTTTAAAAACATTTTTTAACTAGAATACGTTAGAGGAATGAATGGTTGTTTTGGTTTGACTTAAAAACAAAACTTTTACTTAGTATTTTGGGATGTTACAATATGTGTAATAGAAAAATATATCAGATTAAGTAAGTTACCCCCATTGACATATTAAAGCTCATCGTCCCATATTGCCAAAACCGAACTGACTTGGGTGTTAATATAATCTTTATTGCAAGTAATTAGTGCATTGTTATATGTTATAAATTTAATTATCAAATAAAAGGAAGTTAACTTTATGTTTCTTTTTTTAAAATAGAACAAAAGAGATTTACTTTAATTTTGCAAAACACATATTATTTTTAAGGTTGTTTGTAAATTGATATATAATTTACTAAATAATAAAAAATTAAAATAAATATTTATTACCATTTTAAATGGTTATAATACCATGAACCTAGAATAATGCAAGTTAATTAGAATGTTATTTGACTATTTGACAGGTAGAGTAAGATGCCCAAAAGAAAAGAAGAGCAAGAAAGCTGAAGAAGTTGCCCAATGCTAGAGAAGAGTAGCTTGTGTGGTTATTCCTTTCCCTTAGTTGGATAATTCTTCCCACATGCCAACACTATTAATTTTGTAAAATATGTACTCACTGAATCTTGACCTTCACTGATGTTTATTTAGTCTCTTTTGATTTGAAAAATGTGGTCCATTGCTTTCTTGAAAGCGCTCTTTAAGTGCATTCCATATTTCGGAAGCATATCAAGATATATGACAAAATCAGAGATTTGTTTTGAAAATGGAATTAAGGATCCAAGAAATTACAACATTATAATTTCTAAACTAGGACTTCAAAACGAACATGATCAGTAGTTGAAGGTGTTTTAAATTGAATTAAGATCCAGAAAACTACTTACATAAACAACTACCAAAATAATGTGTGTGTTGTAAACCTTCAATTACATGGATAAATAATTTAGATGAAGATTCACATAAAAGCTTGAATTATGTTGGTTGTTGTATATGTGTTGAATATATTAAATTTGTAAATTTAGGTGGCCTTTGTTGTTGCTGTTCTTTCGCTAGGTAGGTGGCCTAAGACTGCAAACTTTAACTACATTCATTAAACATACTATCATTGGTCAACAATAATGAAATAAATTCAAATCTGCTTTTACTTACTTTTTTTTTCTGAATGAACATTACAAACAATTATCTAAGCAATGACTTGATGATAAAATAAGTACTTAATCTGTAACAAAAAAAAAATAATAACAAGTTGACCTTTACAATTTCTTTAAACACCAATTCACAATAAATCAAATTTGACAAAAACACAAAAATTACCAACATGCCATCAGTCATCTCATGGGCATATATATCTATCTGCCCTATCTTTATCGTTCTTTCCCCCATCATGTAAGGGTGTGATACATGTAACCATTGCAGCCCATTTTGTTGTTTATGCATCAATCAGAAGAAACAAATTAAGAATAAACAAACAAGAATCACCTAGTTAATAAATCCATCTTTTTATTATTAATGATGCCTTGTGTTTGAACTACGAATAGTCAAACCATGCAAAAGCTTGGTATATCCAAGAAAGTTAAGTTTCCCATCCGTATTTCTTATCCAATCTTTCAGTATCGCGTGTGCTGATGGGCCCACATTCATTTCCTACATATCGCCATGTCATTGTATTTATTAAGAAAATGAAAATCAAAAATTGGGTCAAGAAAAAAAAAAGATAAAAAAAAAATCACCTGTGCTAATGCATCTACTGAAATGACACGGTTTCCTTCTAGTTCGAAATAGTCGAAAGCTGTACTTGCAATCATCTCCCAATTCTCAAGAGCTTCAAGTTGATGTGGGCTAATTGCAGCAGCACAAAACTCTTCAAATCCCATTCGTGTATAAGAAAGTGGCTTCATCTTCAATCAAATAAATAAATAAATAAACCATTTTTATTAATCAATAAATGACATTATAAAACGAATAAAAATCAAGAAATCTTTATTACGGCATCCAAGATATCAAGAACCCGCGATTCTTTCATGGCAGCAGTCGAATGTTTCACCAGAGCCTTCACATTTCAATTATGTTAGTTATGAAAGTTTCACAATGAAAAAAGAGTAAATTACATTTTCGGTCAAGTATAACTGATTTTTTCAATTTTGGTCCTTATTTGAGGTTTTGTAAAGTTACGGCTCAAATAAGGACCAAAATTGCAAAAATAAGCTATACCCAGAAATTGCAAAAATAAAAGGCCTCCATTAAGAACAAACTAACCATTCTAAAATTGTCGAGAGAAACACACCCATCTTTCGGTTCCAATAACTCAAACTGAGCCCTTAAGTAAACAAGCTCATCTTCGGTCAAAGCTTTCGAGAGAGCCTTGCAATAATCAATATAAACACAAAATTTAGCAAACCTTTAACTTCTAAAAATTGCTAAAAAAACAAAAAATAGAAATTCTATAATTAATAGATACCTTAAGTGCTGCGCGCTTTAAAGGCGAGGCCCGAAGATATGTTTTCACTAATTTATAAATCAAAATGTCTAGAGGAATTGCACGATTTTCATCTCTTAGCCACGGGTGAGCTGTAAAAAGTAAACACAATCAGTTACCACCACATGATAAAAAGTTACATACGTATAAAAACTGCGGAAATATTTAAAATCATGAAGATCTTACTTAAGGCTTGTGAGGCTGTCATTCTTTTTCTATGATCTTTATTGAGAAGTCTTTTGACAAAATCTTTGGCTTCTAGGGTTACAGAAGGCCAAGGTGAGTCATTAAGATTAGGATCAGCTCTTAAAACGGATCGGAAGATTCCGGATTCAGTTCTAGCAAAAAAGGGTCGGCTTCCCACATAATAAAATATATGTTATCACACCAATACTCCAAATATCAGCTTCTACATTGTATGATCTATGGAGCACTTCTGGTGCTACATAATACGCGCTTCCAACAATATCATTCAGCCGTAGGTCTGTACATTAATTCACAACATTTAATCTTTTTTCTTTTTTAATAATATTTTTTTTAAAAGAAAAAAGAAACATTGTTTTCCATGTATGTGAAATAAGAAACTTGCCTGGTCTTGCATAATCAGACAAACCGAAATCTATAACCTTTAATGCCGAATCTTCCTCTCTTGTGCTAAATAGAAAGTTCTGCCCAAAACATCATTAATTAGAAGAAATGGTTTCTCAACTTCTAATATCAATCGATTTAAGAAAAACAAAATATATTATATATATACCTCTGGCTTTAAGTCACGATGCACTACACCTTGAAGATGACAAAAGGATGCTACACTCAAGATTTGTACAACTATGGATTTAGCATCATTTTCTGTATATCTTCCACCTCTGTCACATGAAAATGTTAATAAATATGTTACAGAATAAGAAATAAATACAAAAACTACGGTGTTTTAGTTATCACCTGGATAAAATCCGGTCAAGGAGTTCTCCCCCTTCACACAGCCTGTTGTAAAATATGTATTAGCTATGGAAGAATGATAGCTATCATATATGGTAAAATAAAAGGAAGATGATATATACGTACTCCATAACTATGTACACGTTCTGATCATCTTCAAATGCATCATGGAACTGGACCATGTGTTGATGTCCAGATAAGCCCTTTAATAACTTTACCTCCCTACGTACATCTTCAATTGATATGGCTGTTGTCATCTGGTAAAAGAAAAGAATATATCTAACCCTAAGTTCGATTTTGAATCAAATTTCAAAACTTGATCACCATCAACGTGCAAGACACAAAGAGAAGTGTAGATTACTGAATTGAGTGAAGAACTAAAGAATGTGAATCAAGGGCACCTTAGCTTTTGAAATGATTTTTACAGCAACGGGTTGATTCTTGAGAGCTCCCTTTTTGCCCTTTGCCCAACAAGTATGCCCGAAATGCCCTCTTCCGATCTCCTTCCCCAACTCATACTTTGACCCGAAATTCCTCTGGTACCCGAAACTCTTATCCAACGCTCGTTCTCCCTCTCCGCCTTCATCTTCCGGTATCGTTCCCGTCGCTGCCGTGTTCCCTTTTCCCTTTCCGTTACCCTGCCGTTTCATAATCGCCGACATGATCGGCTTCGCCGGAGACGGAGGTGGGAAAGGCCACTTGAACATCCGCCTCGGCGTCCTCGCCGGTGATGGCGTCGGGGGTACCCCCGCGGGGTACGTACTGTGCCATGGGCTTCCGGTGAAAGAATGACTCGGAGTATTGGTGCTAGACCTCCCGTTGGTACCGTTGCCTACGGCAGGAGACGGTGTACGCGGTTTTGGGGTACGCGGTCTGTTGGGGACGGTGGATCCGGCGTTATTGTCGTCCTCTTTGACAGCCGAGTCTGCGACGGCGTCTTTGCTACAGCAATGTCCCATCAAGGGCTAGCTAGGATTTAGTCTTTTTTCCGGTGGAAGATCGTTTCAAAACTCAAAAGTCCACTGATAGGTTGTTACGACAATTTCATAGTCATCACCAAACGTAGATTGGTGAACATTAAATATATATTTTGAGTGTTTTATATGTAGACGTAGATGATTACGAGAGAGAAAGAGAGAGATACAGAAAATTCAAATGGTTTAAAATCTACAAGGGTTTGATTTTCGATTTGAGAATTAACAGTAAGCAGACGAGTTAAACCAGTCAAGATTTATAAAGCCGTAAACTTTGAACAAGCAAACGTTACCACACCATCTTACAAACCCCCAATCCTCACCGTCCGATCTTTATTTAATCTTGACAAAATTGCAAAAATGGTCCCTGTGCTATGCAAATTTTTGGGGTTTTACTCCAAACCACGACTTTTTGGATTGGTGGTCCTTTTGAGCTAGTTTCATTGCGTTTTTTGTCCCTCTAAATAGTGAAATGACTGTAATACCCTTAGGTTATTTATTTTTCATTTTTTTTTTATTTTCTTTCATTTTTTTTTAAATCTAAATACTTATTTATTTATTTAACTAATTAAAAAAATAAAAGTCTCTCTCTCTCTCTCTCTCTCTCTCTCTCTCTCTCTCTCTCTCGTATACCCATTTCTTTCTTTCGTTCCCGATTTCAACGAGCAAGAAGGGGCTGCTACATCCGGCAATCTGGAGATAGCCACCGCACCACCTGCTAGCCTCCATTCGACCACCAAACTCCACCGTGAACCGCTACATCTCCGCCCACCATAGAACCATTCCAGCCTCACCCCATTTCTTTTTCTTTTCTGTTGATCTGAGCAACCCCAAACAAACCCCAATCCTTGCTCCCTTTTTCCTCTTCGATCACCCTTGTATTGGGAAGACGGAAGCAACGAAGCTGCTGTGCTACCACTACTCGCCGCCGTTGCTGTGGTGGGCAGTCCCCACCACCACCTGTCACCGCCCACAGATCCAGATGCAGGTATCCGGTGGGACGACTTTAAACCCAAAAGAAACTTGAACAGACTTACCAATGGCAGCAAGGCGATGGTGGCGGACTGCAGTGGTGGTGGGATGTAATGGTGGTCGACGGTAGCTCCGACTGCTTCGTTTTCTTGCTGCTCCGATGAGTTCGATGAGGGGTCAAGAGGAAGCAGCAGCTGACGACGGCGGAGCTTCACAGTAACGGAGACGTGGTTGCACTGAGCGATAATGTAGGCGAGTGGTGGAGTTCCAGCGGCTTCTGTTGCTTTGTTTACAGCTTACCCTCTACGGGGATTGGTGGTGATCGAATTCGGTGATCGAATTCGGTGACTAGTGATGGTTGGAGTGCCCTGACAACAGCAGCTTGGTGGTGGCGGTGATGGCCGGAACTCCACAGCATTAGCGACGGTGGGTAGTCGTGGGTGGCTGCCCTTAGCGGTTCTTGTTCCCTTCTTCGTTTTATGAGCAGCAGGTCTTCGAGAGGAAGAGTGTAGAAGGATAAGGTTGGATGAGAGAGAGAGAGTGAGAGAGAGAGAGGTGGGCCCCAAATTAGGTAATTATTTTATTTTTCATTTAAATTAAATAGAAAAAGCATAAAAAAATATATCAGAAGGGCATAATATTCTTTTCAGTTTACTGAGAGACCAAAAACGCAAAGAAACTAGCTCAAAAGGACCAAGAATCCAAAAAAATCATGGTTTGAACTAAAACCCCAAAAATTTGCATACCACAGGGACTATTTTTGCATTTTTGTCTTTAATCTTTCATTACTTAATTTTAGATCATCTATTTTTACATTCTCAAAAATAAATTTAACCTCTTCCTCTTTAAAAAAAAAAGGTTTTTAATTAAATATACTTATTAATATTAAAATTCTAAAAATCAAATTAATTTTTTTTATATAATGATTCATCTATAAGTAAATAAGTATTATTGATGATATTACATTTTAGCTTATTTTTTCTTATAAACATAATATACGGTGTTCACATTATACAGATTAATTTTAAAAAATTAATAAAGTATGATTTGACTATTAAACAAAGTACCAATAGTGTATGAATCATGCACATTTAGGTTGTATACACATTTAGGTTGCTTACACATTTAGGTTGTATACGATTTGGCTTTTTGAGTTCTATATTTATAAATTATGAATTTGTGCTACATTCTTAGAAAGATGATATCTCTTATCATATATCCTTAATAAACGTCACCTCGGCTAAGGTTAAGCGGTGTCCTACAGGTTTTGTCATCAGTAATCCGATGTGGTAGATGTTACCGGCGGAAAATATCGTGCATTGTTTTTTTTTTTTTGCCGGCGGTGGAAGTTCACCGATGTCTCTCTCCTCTTCTACTGTCTAAACTCTCCACTTTTCTCTCATTTTCCTACCTTATTTTGCCAAGAACACCACATCCTAATCCTCAAAAACTCATAGGCAAAACATAAAAATCTAGATGGCATCGGTTTGCCACCGGTAAAAAAAAACACGAGACCGTACAACCTAAATAGGTAAGTAAGGACGGTATTAGGCTGGAGGGAGTGGCCCTCGCTAGGGACTCGCCTCCAGCTCGCCAAACTCGTTTCCTCCACTCCTTACAAAGTCGCTACTTGTCTCACTAACAATTGCTCGTTAACCCGGCAGCGAGAAGAAATAGGAAGAGAAAGGGAAGACAAATAGATATGATTGGCGGAGAGAGTTTTTCTCTGGGAGGAAGAAGACACAGAATTTACAATTTGGCATTTTTGATCCCTTTATTTTGACCTTATGACAGATTCGACCTTAATTTACAATTTCTTTTACAATATAAATTTTCAGAATCAGCACAAAACCCCCTGAAAAATCTTATTGTAACTTTTTAAATTTAATATCAAATGTTTGTGTTTTAGAAAATATAATTTATTTGGTATTAATTTTTTGTGGTTTAAAAAAATAAAATTTATTTAATATTATTGTTTGTGTTTAAAAAAAATATTTTAATTAAATTTGAAAAAGAAAAAAAAATTGGAGTACTAGGAGTGTTACCACTCCCTACCAAATGCTAAGAATAAGGTTCTAAGAAAAAAAAATAACATGGCACCTAAAAAGATGATGTGGCAAGGTGTTAGGAGTGTTACCACTCCTCCTAGCCTTATGCATTCATTAGAATGGTATTTTTTTTATTTGTACTTTATCCACAATAAAATTTTGTAAGGATATTACAAGTTCAAACAACATAACCACCCTTGAAAATTTATGCATCAAAACACATTATTTGTAAATTTGTCGGGAAGTATAAAAAAATCATGTCCTTCTGGTTGTTATCGAATAAATTACCAACAATACATACAATGACTCTCGTTATGGTTTCTCATCAACCATAATAAATTCCTAGCAACAACCACCATCAATTTGTATAACAACAAATTCATGCTCTCTTTTATCTCAAACCATATATATTCACACAAAATGAATTCAATCTATCATTAATTGGGATTTAATTTAAGGTTTTGATTACAAATCATGTACTAGGGACATCAAAAACATTTTGGGAGGGATAGATTTATCAAATGATGGCATTAATATAGAGAATGAAAACACGATATACATGAAAGATATGTGATCATCACAAGGCTTTGGTTTGTGAGTTTGCAAGTCTCAAATTGATTTTCATTCACACTTGGTGTTCATATGCCCATTCACACTTGGTTTGTCATGGAAGTCGTGGTTTACCTAGCTAAGAAAGGAATGATCGTATCTTCAAGAATAATCCTATGTTCAAGAAGAATTTTGTAGTCGTCGGGGTCTTAGCCCACAACAATACGGCATAAATATGGAAGATGTCTACTCGATCAAGCTCGTAAAGAAGGTTCTCAGAGGTAGTTTGTCCCTTTGTATATAACCGAATTCTCATGTTACTTAATTGCTAAAAGGTTCTCAAGGTAGTTTGTCCTTTTGGAATGTCAATTAACAATAAAATGTCGTGGAAGGATGAAAAAAATGTCGTGGAATAATAAGCGCCCTTTTGATTATATGATATCTAATGTTTTTAACTTTAATCTCGTTTAAAATATTTCCATATTGATATCAATATCGTTAAGGATAAAAATCTAAAATCCTATGTAATTTTTTTTTTTTTGTATCTAATGATCCTGTAATTATTATTTAAATCATTTTTATTAAGTTTCTTATAATATCTCTAATTTCATTAATTATAAGTGTTGTTTTTTTATATGTCCTTAGGATCTCGAATATATAGTCAATTCTATGGTTAATGTAAAATTACACTCTTGTAATCTTTATGGTTCAACGATTTATTGATACTCGTCAAACTTTAACGCATTCGTCATCGATCATCGCCAACAACACTTATTATATTGTTTCCAACAACAACAACAACCATGTAAACCCTTCACAGTGATTAACTTAGACAACGCCACCAAGCTTGTCCGAGAAACTGCATTCATGGAAATCTAAAAAACAAACAACCCTCACGAGCTATGATTTATATAAACTCGTGGATTGCTATCATCCACCACCTCCCCCACTAATTACAACACCACACACACCACAAATCCTGCCAACTCAATGTGGTGCATCAAGATAAACTCATATTTGATGATCTTCTAGGAACCCTCTCAACCACGTGTATAGTGTGCAATGAGGATCGTAGATAAGGGAAACGAAAACTGTGATGATTCCCAAAACCCGATAGATATAGAAAAAGGTATGTCGTTTATATGAGTATATATTTGCATTTATAATATATGACTATTTATCAAAATAACATATTTGTAGAAATCGAAAAATATACAATAGAAACTATTATGCACGAAAAAAGAGAAAAACAAAATGAGAATGATAGCTAACGGTGAAGGATGTAGTCAACTTACAACACTCACAAGTTGCACTACAATGGAGACAAACGAAACAAATATCAACGAAGATTCCTCTGTGAGTGTTATAAGTGCAGCTCAGAGGACGAGTATAATAAAGAATATTATAAACGAAGAAAGGAACGAACTATGATGACAAAAGAAGAGTATACGCCTTTCAGGAGGATCCATATGATTTTGTTTACGAAAACATTCGTATGGAACATCGTATATTAAAGGCTCAAAACCCTTGTGTTTATTGTGGAGCAAAGCTACTACAATATGAATTCCCTACCTTTTGTTGCATGAATTGGAAGACAAAACTGGCATACTCCCCTATTCCCACAGAATTGCACCAAATCTTCACAAGGCAAGAGCAGCTAGAAGAAAGCTTCAGGTACAATTGTAACGCCCCGTTTAATTAATAAATAAATTAACTAATTAATAAATGTAATTCCCGGACTAAATTGTGAAGAATTTTGATAGTTGGGGGGTTGTTTAGTAAGTTACGGAGTTGATTTTAGAAGGATTTTAGAAGCAGAGGTATGTTTGGTAATTATTGGATTTATTTTGAAAATGATTTCGGAAGTCAGGGTGCATTTGGTAATAAATGGACTTAAATTGAAAAGATTGAAGGCTTAGGGGGGTGATTGGTAATTCCGGGACCTTATATGAAAGGACTTTTGAAGTCAGGGGCTAAAGGGGAAATTTCGGATTCAAATTGACAATGATTTTGGGAGGAGGGACTGAACCTGTAAAGATGCATGAATGTTTGAAAGAGAAGCACGGGTTATACCCGACTTTCCTTCCCCGTCATTTAACCCTAAACCTAGGAACACCATTCTACAGCCGCCACCCTCAAAGAACTCCTCCAACCGCCGCTGCATCACCGAGTCTGTTGCCGCCGTTAACTCATCATCGGAACGCCACGCGACCGTCGGACGTCGGGAGCAAAGCTGAAACGTCACGTGGATCGCCGGAGTGTTGGATTAGTGTCTAAGTCCATAACTATTTTGGTATGTACTTGACCCGATTGTGAGCATGGTCCTTTTGGGTTGCCTTCACCATAGCAATATGTAGGATGAATTAAGGAGAGAAAGGTTTAATTATGATTTATTAATATATTATAAGAATAATATATTAAAGGAGAAATCATATTGGTTAATTAATATTAGTCAAGAATTAATTAAGAATTAATTTTGTGACTAAAAGAGATTAATTAAACTTAGGGGACTGGAATTGTAATTATAGGATAATTGCAATTGGGCTATGGATCACCTTGGAATAATAGGTTGGACGAATTCTATGGGGAAGCCCATTAGAAATCGTCCAAGGCATGTTCCAGAAGGGGTTCATGGGCTGCTTAGGGCTTAAGCAGTCAAATTAGGGTTTCCTTGTTGGATAACCCTAATAGCCTAAGTATATAAGGAACCCTTGGGCACCAAAAACGTGGCTAACACTGGGATTAGGGTTTCCAGCTGTTTTTGGTGTCTCATTTCTCTTCTCTCCTTCATCCAATTGCTTAGTGGTGTTTGTGACTCCATTAGAGGTGCAACACTTGAGGCACTAAGCTTTCTGAAGCCAAGGATTGATTGTTATTGCTATATAACAATCAAAGGTTAGATCTAAACCATATTTTATGTTAATATGATTAATTGTATGCTAGATCTAGGGTTTATAGTTTTGGATATTCAATTGCATGTTCATTAGACAAACTAGATCTAAAAGCTATTAGGGTTTGCATGTACACCATAGGAATGATGTATTGCTCGAAACCCATCAGTGGTATCAGAGCCTAGGGCTGTTTGTTAGTGAATTTGATGCTTGTTTGATCGATTTTTGCATGAAAAACAAAGTTTTTTGCCTTCTGAATCTCCGACTCGGCGAGTCAGTGGATGAACTCGGCGAGTCAGGCCGACTCGGCGAGTCCAGTCCCTGACTCGGCGACTCTATGGATCTGGCAACGTTTTTTTGGCGATTTTGTTGCTGTTTTGGCTTGGGATACTTACCATAAACGTTTTTAATTCATAAAATCCGATTTTTATTGATATTGGGTGATTATCCTTACCAAAATAGAAGATAATTGTCAAAATTTAGATAATCTTTTGTTTTATTAGATAAAGATTGATTATTTGTAATTTAGATTTGAATTATCTTGTGAAAAAGTTTCAATTTTTCCCCTTTAGGTTTTATAGTTTAAATTTGAACTTAAAAGTTTTGTTTTTGAAATTTGAATAGTTAAACCCTAATG